CGATATATGTTTTTTCAATAAATATACAACTCTATACATCCAATAATCTGTTACAGTTCTATAAACACGTGAAGTTTCACAATATCGATTTTAATTCACATATTCACGTCTTGGTGTCTAGAATTTATTCACATAGATACTCTCAGGGTCGAGGATGATGTTTCCCAAAACTTTAGCAATTTGAAGACATTTCAGTACCAATATATATATTTCTCATCTTGGAATTATTCATTTCTGTGAAGTATTTATCGTAAACAGCATATTTTCAGAATTAAATTTTAAGCTAAAAACACATGCACTATTTAGGAAGTATTAAAAAAAATAAATACGATGAAATAAAAAAATAGCTTCTCTCAGTTACTTTTAAATTTCATAAAGTTCAATAATTGAACACATGACATCTTTAAAAGATTCCTTCGTTGTGGCTGGAGGATTTTTTGAACTATCTGTGTACGCTTGGTTTTGGTATGAAATTGAATGAGTGTGATGGCTAACTTTCGTTCTTAAGATAGAAGCAAAAAATAAAAAATAGCTTCTGTCAAATCGCGATAATTCATGTAGTAATGATATATTCCAAATATCAAAGGTTGGAATTGTTTCTTCGATGTGGCAGATAATAATGTTTAATCTCAATCACAATTATAATGCATTTTTATTTACCAAAAACTTCCAAAAAATGGCAAAACCCTTTTGCTGTACTGTTTGTGGAGTTACGAAAAAAGTTGATTCTTAAAGCATTTCTGGCTAATAATCAGAAAGTTACTTTACAAGGTCTGAAACATGGCTTTGGTTTTGGTTGTTCAGAAAATTAAAAACTGGTTGTTTTTTGTTTATTTTTTCCTTTCTCACCATTTTTCTTCACTTTCCGCCCCCCTGCCAATAATATTCAAAACTATTCACTTCACAATAATTATTCCACACACTTTTCATCAACAAGTTTTTTATTTTCAATTCAACAAAAAAATTTACATCACCAAAAACACAATAAAATGGTCAATAACAAGAAGAATAACAAGAAAACATCAGCCATTGCTTCCGAAGTTGCTGGATCATCATCGAAACCATCATCAAAGAAGACCACCACAACAGCTCCTCCAGCAGCTCCTGTTGCTACAGAAGTAGTAGTTGAAAAAGTAGAAAAAGCCACACCAACAACAACAACAATAGAAAAGAAGCAAACAAAGAAGGCAACAACAACTAAAACAACACAAGAAAAGAAGAAGCCTGATGTTGCTGCTGATAAGAAGAGAAAATTGGATCAAGTTGTTGAAGAACCAGCTAAAAAGAAGGAAGAAACAAAGTCTTCTGCAGTAGTTGTTGAAAAATCATCAAAGAAACAAAAGAAAGAAACAAAGCCAGCAGTTGTTGTTGAAGAAGTAGAATCAAAGGAAGAAGAAGAAACTGAAGTTGTTGTTGAAGATGANAAGGAAGAAAAGAAAAAGAACAAACGTAAGGAAGCCAAAACTGATATTGA